ACAGGAGCCAAAAAGGCCACCACCCAAAGAGGCAGGGTTTCATGGGCAGACTGAGAGGAGATGCCCCGGATGACACCAGGAAGGAACAAAGGCTCTGGAGAGGCAGGGAGTCGGGGGGGTCCCACACTGGGCCTGTGTGCCATGCCACAGTGCTCTGTTGGACATGACACAGCACTGATGGTATCCCTGGGTCTGGCCTTTCCTGGAAAAGCCCCTGATGAGGGACCCTTCCATACAGGGTTGGGATACTTCCCTTCAAGCCCCTCTCTTCCTGGAAGCCCTCACTCCTTGGACTCTAGGTCCTGGAGGACCAGGCTGAGGAGAGGACTCAGGTTTTAAAGGAAGCCTGAATATTCAGGAATGATAGCTGTAACTCTGTATGTACCCTTCGTGAGGGCAGACTTGGTTCAGTTCACAGGGTCTCCAACTGTGGGCGTTCCCCCTGTGATGGTACACCCAAGTGCTCAAGCTGGGCAATGTCACATTGCAGTTGAAATTTGCAGGCATTTTCACTAGCATTATCTTAGTCTTCCCAAGGTCTCCTTACCCCATTTTACATATGAGTAAGTTGAGACTTGGAGAAAGTAAATACCTCACCCAGGTCACATATTAAATATCAGAAATGGGATAGGAACTCAGGGTTTTAGACATCAAGTTCAGGGCCTCTTCTGACAAGGCATTCGTTGGATGACTGTTATTCATGATGTCCTTAGGAACCAGATGGAGAAATATGGGATGGGTTATAACAAAGTTATGTTCTAGAAACCACTTTCATTTTAGCCTCTCTGTGCTTCAGTTTCCTCCTCCGTGAAATGGGGCCAATAACAATAATAATAATAACAATAATAATAATACTTCCTTCACAGGGTTGTTGTGAGGATTAAATGAGTTACTATATGTAAATGCTTAGAACAGAGTCTGGCATGTTACTGTTATACAAGCGTCTAATGTTAGCATTACTATTGCTGTTATTGTTACCTCCCTGGAAGTGAGCTCTGCCGGATTGTAGACACTTCTGGTCTCCCTCTATGTCCTCAGCATTGTCCCTGTCACACAGTAGGTGCCCAACACATGCGCACTGAGTAAAAGTTATGTGGAGGCACACATCAAGGTGCTCTGAGGATATCATTCCAAATGTGTAGAGATGAACTGTCATTTCCAGCTGGTGTTAAAATATGCAAAAGGCCCAGGTTGCCCAGAAATGGACGGAGCACCAGAGCACTCTGGCAGGGACCGGCGAGCTGGCTGGGGCCACGTGCCCTGCAGGTGGTGTGTGTGAGTCAATCAGCGGGACACCGCAAGATTCCAGGATACCCATCTCTACCCTTCCAGGGGGCCCTAGGCCAGGACAGGCACCTGGCAAAGGAAAGGCAAGGATCACTCCAAACACTTTTCAAATGGGGAACCAAGAAGCCTTCCCTCTTATGTCCCCCTTCCCAGAAAAGGCGCTTCTAGGACTCTTCCTACCTGGCAATCATGCCTTCCCTGGGATATGCAAAAGGCCCTAGCAAGCCTTGATGCAAATAGTGCTGATTTCCTGGGCTAAAATTACATCTTGAGTCAATTTTCCTAAAATGTGGTGACAGATTTCGGTGCCGGGAAGATGGAGCTGTCTCAGAAGACATTAAAATGACCCAACTGGTTAAAATCAGCTGAAACCTGGCAGCTTTCATTGTTCTGCAGCCTTGTGCAAACCCAGGGCCTGGGCCTGCCTGGAGAAACTGCTGTGCCTGCACTTGACTCCCTCTGGTCATAGGATTATTATCTCTCTGCCAAGAGTCCGCTAATGGGCATTTTGCAATGAACTAGCAGGTAGAGTAGTGATAATCAGTTTCTGTTTACTTGCAAAGGTAGTCTTCCATCCCAGGGACAGTTCCCTAAAGATGGATCCAGATTTTTCTTTAAATTCTCCATTCCCAATACTTTGCAAGTCACAGAGAATCGGGCAAAGAAGTAGGACCTGGATATATTTGAGTGCATCTTTCCTTCTCCAGAAATAGCTTGAAGCCTGTGTCCTAGGGGTACTGTTGGGGCCCAGGGGAGGCTGCCCCGAAATATCCCACAATGGCATATTTATTATTGATTACTTGGAATTAAAGTCCTGGAATGCAGAAGATAATTCTCCCTTGCGAAAGGTGCCATCCTTGCTTCAGCGGGGCTGAGAAACTCTTATCACTAGAGTTAGGGAATCCAGGGCCAAAAAATTTTACATAAATAAAGCTGTTACTCCTTTACTAACTTACTACCCAAGCCCAAACTCAGTTTAGATTTCTCAGTAATGAGCACCCAAACCTAAGTATCTTTGTCCTGTCATTTCCTCACAAATTTATTGTTTTTTGTTTTTTGTTTTTTTGCCTAAAAAGTACAAAAAGATGGCTGGTTCATCATTTTGGAGAGCATCGTCATTTATGATCTCCCATGCACACATATCAAATTGTTTTTTCTCCCATTAATCTGAATCTGGTCTTGTGTCAATTTTATTATTAGTCCAAGAACTCGAAAAGGTGGAGAATTCTCCCCATCTCTAACAGTACCCATGTGGCTGAGCTCCGCCACTGTTACCCCTGAAGGCTGGGCATGGTGCTGATTGCCTCTTGTAAATGGGATCAGTCTCCTTCATCTCTAGGGATCTTCTTGCTCTGAATTCTCACCCCATGACCCCACCTGTCCTCAGCCCGACAGCCATGAGCTCCCTTCCGTTGCCTCTTCTCGTATCTTGCCAGCCTCACGTTCTAAACGTCAGCCTTGCTCATCTGCTTGCTGTCTGTTCTGAGGTCTCTGTTTGCTCCTCTGGATCCACTCCTGCCCTTTCCCACCCTGCTCTGTGCCTGGGAGGCTGACCCGTGTAGACTACGTCAAGGCCACCCCTGGGTCTTCCAGTGGGGTTCCACCAATGGGAGGCGCTGGGGGTGGGAAGAGACTGAGGTTGTCCGGGCTGACCATGTCCCTCCACTGAGGGCCCCTGCTCCTGTCTGGGAGCCCCACTGGGAGAACCCCTTTCCCCCTTACCTCCTCAGTCTGGGAGTAATAATGGCCTCCCACTGTTGCCAGACCCATGACTCATCACCTCTCATTGGTTCCCTAAACCCCGCTTACTCCTTTATAAATAGCCCTTTATTACGTCTCCCGGCTACCCAGGACCTGGACTGACCTGCTCATTCTGGCCTCCCTCCGTGCCTTTGCTTACGTCACAATCTTTGCTGCTGGACCCAGGTACTATGGCCCTTGGGCTTCACTGAGGCCCAGCTGCTCCAAGTGGACACTCCCACTGCACTGGGGTCTAGTGCTATGATTCCGCCCCTTTCCATAGAATAATGAGGTTGAGCCCAATGATCTCTGAAGTTCCTTCCGACCCACACCCTTCTCTTCTCCGCTTCATACACCCCTTAGCCAGATGGCTTATGTTTAGTCAAATTCCATTTTTAAAAATCCAATGAGCTATCAAAGTGCTTTAGCCAAACATGGCTGTAACTTTCCCCTGAACTCCCTTTTTTTTTTCTCACAGATACCTCTCACTGTTTCCTGTTAGGATTATTCATGCGTGTGAATCTCCCCTCCCAGGCTGCAAACTCCCTAGTTCCAGCTGGTGTTTAGGTGAAGCTCTGTTCTTCTGACCATCTCTCCCTCTCTCCCCACCACCTGCACCTGGTTTGTTGCCCGGCATCTAATAAATGTTTCCTGTTGCAAATATTAACTGAAATGGGGGAATGGCCAGCCAGACCTCAAACACTCTGGATGACGCTGTAAAATGATATTTATCAAGCACTTACTACGCACCAGGCATATTACCTCCCCATCTTCTTTTGCCCCACTACAAGGTAGGTGTTATCTCCATATTACATATGCAGGAAATGAGGCACAGAGACAGAGGTTAAGCAACTTGCTCCAGGTCCCACCTCCAGAAAGGGGTGGAGCCAGGAGTGAAGCACAGGTGCATCTGACACCAGGGCCTCCCATCTTTTCTGTGTTCCACGCTGCGATGCCTGTGGTAACAAGATGCAACGTGGACAACTGGGGACCCTGACCCAAACGGAGACAATTCTCAATGACAGAATGTAACTAATGGCTAGCGGAGCAGTGCCTTTCGAAAGAGGATGCTCCAGACGTTCCTGAATGAATCATAGACATTAGC